CCTTATGGATACTGTTTCGGACATTAATAAAGTAGAGGACTACCTAATGGGTACTGTCTCGGACACTGATAAAGTAGAGGACCACCTAATTGGTACCGTCTCGGACACTGATAAAGTTGAGGACTACCTTATAGGTACTGTCTCGGACACTAATAAAGTAGGGGACTACCATATGGATGCTGTCTCGGACACTAATAATGTAGGGGACTACAATATGGATACTGTCTCGGACACTAGTAAAGTAGAGGATTACCATATGGATACTGTCTCGGACACTAATAATGTAGGAGACTACCATATGGATACATTCTCTGACACTAATAAAGTAGGGGACTACCATATGGATACTGTCTCGGACACTAATAATGTAGGAGACTACCATATGGATACATTCTCTGACACTAATAAAGTAGGGGACTACCATATGGATGCTGTCTCGGACACTAATAATGTAGGGGACTACAATATGGATACTGTCTCGGACACTAGTAAAGTAGAGGATTACCATATGGATACTGTCTCGGACACTAATAAAGTAGGGGACTACCATATGGATACTGTCTCGGACACTAATAATGTAGGAGACTACCATATGGATACATTCTCTGACACTAATAAAGTAGGGGACTTCCATATGGATGCTGTCTCGGACACTAATAATGTAGGGGACTACAATATGGATACTGTCTCGGACACTAGTAAACTAGAGGATTACCATATGGATACTGTCTCGGACACTAATAATGTAGGAGACTACCATATGGATACATTCTCTGACACTAATAAAGTAGGGGACTACCACCATATGGATGCTGTCTCGGACACTAATAATGTAGGGGACTACAATATGGATACTGTCTCGGACACTAGTAAACTAGAGGATTACCATATGGATACTGTCTCGGACACTAATAATGTAGGAGACTACCATATGGATACATTCTCTGACACTAATAAAGTAGGGGACTTCCATATGGATGCTGTCTCGGACACTAATAATGTAGGGGACTACAATATGGATACTGTCTCGGACACAAGTAAAGTAGAGGATTACCATATGGATACTGTCTCGGACACTAATAATGTAGGAGACTACCATATGGATACATTCTCTGACACTAATAAAGTAGGGGACTACCACCATATGGATGCTGTCTCGGACACTAATAATGTAGGGGACTACAATATGGATACTGTCTCGGACACTAGTAAACTAGAGGATTACCATATGGATACTGTCTCGGACACTAATAATGTAGGAGACTACCATATGGATACATTCTCTGACACTAATAAAGTAGGGGACTACCACCATATGGATGCTGTCTCGGACACTAATAATGTAGGGGACTACAATATGGATACTGTCTCGGACACAAGTAAAGTAGAGGATTACCATATGGATACTGTCTCGGACACTAATAATGTAGGAGACTACCATATGGATACTGTCTCGGACACTAATAATGTAGGAGACTACCATATGGATACATTCTCTGACACTAATAAAGTAGGGGACTTCCATATGGATGCTGTCTCGGACACTAATAATGTAGGGGACTACAATATGGATACTGTCTCGGACACTAGTAAACTAGAGGATTACCATATGGATACTGTCTCGGACACTAATAATGTAGGAGACTACCATATGGATACATTCTCTGACACTAATAAAGTAGGGGACTTCCATATGGATGCTGTCTCGGACACTAATAATGTAGGGGACTACAATATGGATACTGTCTCGGACACTAGTAAAGTAGAGGATTACCATATGGATACTGTCTCGGACACTAATAATGTAGGAGACTACCATATGGATACATTCTCTGACACTAATAAAGTAGGGGACTTCCATATGGATGCTGTCTCGGACACTAATAATGTAGGGGACTACAATATGGATACTGTCTCGGACACAAGTAAAGTAGAGGATTACCATATGGATACTGTCTCGGACACTAATAATGTAGGAGACTACCATATGGATACTGTCTCGGACACTAATAATGTAGAGGACTACCTTAGGGATACTGTTTCGGACACTAATAAAGTAGAGGACTACCTTATGGGTACTGTCTCCGACACTAATAATTTAAAGGACTACCTTATGTGTACTGTCTCGGACACTAATAAAGTAAAGGACTACCTTATGGGTACTGTCTCAGACTCTAACAAAGTAAAGAACTACCTTATGGGTACTGTCTCGGACACTAATAAAATAGGGGACTACCATATGGATACTGTCTCGGACACTTATAATGTAGAGGACTACCTTATAGGTACTGTCTCGGACACTAATAAAGTAGGGGACCACCTTATGGGTACTGTCTCGGACACTTATTTAGTAGAGGACTCCATTATAGATACTGTCGCGGACACTAATAAAGTAAGGGACTATCATATGGGTACTGTGTCGGACACTAATAAAGTAGGGGACTACCATATAGGAACTGTCGCGGACACTAATAAAGTAGCGGACTACCCTATGGGTTCTGTCTCGGACACCAATACAGTAGAGGACTACCTAATGGGTTCTGTTTCCGACACTAATAAAGTAGGGGATTACCATATGGATACTGTCTCGGACACTAATAAAGTAGAGGACTAC